TAGTGTGTGTGGCAGAGGGCCTTAGTGGCTAAGTAAAAGACTATTTCCCCAAACATTTTACTTCTCTATAAGCCCTCAAAGCAGACTCTGTGTTTTGTAAAGTGCTGCATACACTTACAATACTCTATAAATAAATGCTACGGTGTGGTTTATTTCTGATAAAAATCCTATGTAAATATATATGGAAATTAGGTACAGCCCTCAGGCTTCCTGGCAACCTGCGAATGCAGCTCTTGCTGCTGCAAAGGTTGTGGTGTACTGATCTAGCCCAACTCCCTGGTACAACAAAAAATGATTAAGGGGAATGGTGATATGGATTAACAAAAGGTGTAAATATTTATAGCTTGGTTTAGTAATTCCCATGAGGGCTTAGATATCTTTACAAAGATTGGAAGGGTATAAACACCAGGAAAGGATATTAATTTTAGTGTGGTCCATAATGATATTGATTAGAAGTAATGAGATAAAAATCAGCGTAAGACAAATTGCTAGTAGTGAGAGTTGTTAGATGGTAGAATAATCTACAATGCAAATGGAGGAAGTCCCAGTGTTGGAGTGATTTGAATCAGAGTAAAACAAAGCAATACAACTTATACCACAGGGAACAGCTCCAGGAAGAAAAAACAAACAATAAAAAACAATTGGACTTTAGGTTGCTCTTCTGTAAGTTGCCTTGACCCTGATACCTTACTGGTATTGAGGTACCCAGAACTGAATGTGGTATTAAGTGGACTTTTCAGTAAGTATAAGGGAGAATTAACATCTCCATTTTCTATGATCTGATGTCTCTACACCTGCAGTCCAAAACTGTATTGGCATTTTTTACCACTGTATCACACTGAATGTTCAGATCTCAGTGGCAGTCTACTCTCACTCTTACGTCTCACCAGCATTGCTTTCTGAGATATGAATTTAAAGAAATTGTGTCAGACTGGTTTTCCCCAGATACATAGCTTGGCTTGGTCCAGGTCAGACTTCATTTTGTAAAAAAATTTTCAGGCCTCATTGGTGTTTGCAACACCTAATTTGAGTAGTATCTTACTTTAATTTGCATGCTGTTTACCCATCTTCCATGTCATTCATGGAGGTGTTGTAGCACTTTGTGTCATCCTATTCTGAATTACCCTACTGGCAAGGCTGGAAGTCAGTTATTCACAACTTGGTCACTACAAGCTAGGCTTCCATGAGTCATTTTTTTATGGTCTTCCCAAATTTTTTAAAAGAAGTATTCATTTACTAGCAATGAAATATGAGATGGTTGGACAATTTATTAGGGTGGTTATTTCTGGTGTAGGAATGAAACCAGGAGTCAAGGGCTTCCCAATAATAAAGAATGTGTGAACGAAAAAACCAAACTGCACCACACGTTCATCCACTGGATTTCATTCAGCAGATTTCATAATGGTGTAATTGCCTGAAATGCTATAAGCCCTTGGATAAAGTTGTTTGCTTTCAGATTATTCTTTTGGAGCTAAAGCTGCAGACACCTCCCAAATAGTGTATAAAACACTGATTTTGAAACTGGGTTTGTGCAACTGTGACTTCAAAGCTTCCTCCTGGCCCAGCCCTGTACTTACTAAAAAATGGCATCCATATTTGAAAAGCTCATCAGTGTGGCTGTAACCTCCTGAAGCAGCTTACTTGGATTAATAGTTAACCCACAAAAGTTTGGCAGTAAAGAGCACTTTCAATAGAAAAACTTTCTCAGTAAGGAACCATTGACAGCTGTTGTAACTCACTGAATATTTTTGGGTAAGACTATTCATTCTGTATGAACAGCGTATAGGAAGGGTCACTGCTGGGAGATTCCCCAGATGGATTTTAATACAAGTAGCAAGAAAAACAGAGCTATGGACAAACTGGAGTCTAACAGGATAGACTCAAGTCCTGTCTGTATGAATCATGTGCCAGCTGCATATATCTTAATAGGATTAGAAATATCTTGCTGGAGTGAATAAGTGTGAAGTATTTTTTTTTCCAAATGTGAGCACTATATTCACACACACAAGCCACAGGCGGCTGAATGCTGGAAACCTACAATCTTCTACTTATCCATATAAGAAGTACTGAATAGTACAGGCAGCAGCACAAGCTTCCTCTGTCACTATCTGCCTCATCCCGGATTTGAAGAGGCAGCTTCTAGGGGCAGGAAGACAATTCAGCTTCATTCACTTTCAGTCTTTGGTTTCTCAGATGAGAATAGCAACAAGTTGTGATTATAACATGGATCTCTCGCCACTAGAACACTGACTGATAACCAACTTAATATACATAAGTTGGGCTAGATTCCTTCCAGCAATCTAGGGGTAAAGTGAGTTCTTCTTTGGGGAATTTATATAACTGATTTAGTTGCAGCCTCTCATTTTTTTGCTTCCGGCTATATTTTTTGCCAACATAAATATCAATGAGAAAAGTATCAGATTAATGTGTCCTAGCCTGTGGTGGAAGATCCCTGGTCTGTCTGCACTAGAGAGATACAACTCCCACAACCAGTTCACTTTCCCTGTAAAGAAAGCACAATCATCATTCCCCTGTAAAATTTTAACTACGGTGCTGCCTCTTCTCAAAGAATTTGGAGGTATAACTCCCTGTTTTAACCCATTTGTTTTCTGAGTGGGTCAGAACCATAGGCAGGGATGAGGGAAGAAGAGAGAAGGGTGTGCCATGCTCTGTTACTGCAAGGGAACAAATGATGGACAGAGGGGCCAGCAAGCAAAGTGTTAGTGCCACTCTTAACATATTAGCAACAGAGAGTATAGCTAGCACACTCTGCAGCAGAATATCTATTAGTGCACAATGACAATGAGGTGAACATAAAGGAAGGCTGAATAATCCTCCTACTCAGCAAGGAAAGCAGCAACTACTTCACAGGAGAGAAAGAAAAGCACAGATATTGAGACAGGATTGGCTTAGATAAAGATCCTTAAGGCAGCCTTGCAAAATATTACCCACACCATGAAAATGAGTGTGGGCAAGTAAAATTTAGACATGGATGTGCAAATTTTCATGATAAGTTTGTGAGCTGAATTTAAAGGCAAGTTTCCTTCTAAATCTTCCACAAAGCAGTGCCCACTGTGCAAGGAAGCTCCTTCACAGGACATTTCTAAGTCCTAGCCAGAAAAAGGAGGTATAAATTAAAGAGCCGTCAGATTTTAAAACTAACAAAATTATCCTTCACATCTATTACCCCCTATATACACGCTTCCAGTTTGTGGTAAGTTTGTGTTACTTATTGATTTTGAAATAAAATGCCAAAAATAAAAAGCTTTGAAGAAATGGATGTAAAGATTAAAAATAAAATGTTTTAAATGCAGCAAAGTGCTGGCTTAGTTTTTGTTTGAGAATTTAAGACATGTCTTACCCAATGCCCCCCACATCAACAATGCCAGTGAAATGTTGATGGAACCCACAGTGCTGCACCTCATGAGGCTCTTAGAATATTTTGTTACATCTAACTGTAATGAACAATGGGAAAATAAAATCAGTGATCCCTTGTTGGATAGAATACAGAAAAATCTCTTGTTTATAGCTCAATTTTGGCATTTAATGCACGTATAGGTCTCCTCCAGTTCAGTAACACATACTCCAATCACTGCACTGTTTGCAATCCCTCACCAACTCTGCTTGTTGTCATTGCTGTTGTTTTCGTAAAGAGTTTATGAAAGGAACATGAAGTCAATGGAAAGAGAATACAACCACTGATATCAGCTGAAAGAAGAACAGGAGTACTTGTGGCACCTTAGAGACTAACACATTTATTAGAGCATAAGCTTTCGTGGACTACAGCCCACTTCTTCGGATGCATAGTGGGCTGTAGTCCACGAAAGCTTATGCTCTAATAAATTTGTTAGTCTCTAAGGTGCCACAAGTACTCCTGTTCTTCTTTTTGCGGATACAGACTAACACGGCTGCTACTCTGAAACATGATATCAGCTGGGTGCTCCGGGGCAAGTGAGCAGGTGCTGGGGTGGGGACGGTATTGGGGTTTAGGTAGGGTTGCCAGGCATCCAGTTTTCGACTGGAATGCCCGGTCAAAAAGGGACCCTGGCGGCTCCGTTCAGCACTGCTGACTGGGCCACTAAAAGTCCAGTCAGTGGCACAGCAGGGCTAAGGCTGGCTCTCCGCCTGCCCTGGCTCCACACGGCTCCTGGAAGCGGCCAGAGTGTCCAGCTCCTAGGCGCAAGGGCGGCTACTGGGGCTCCATGCACTGCCCCCACCCCGAGCGCCCATTGGGGGCAGTGTCTGCGGACAGCACACAGAGCTGTCCGCAGCTTTACCCCTCCTTTACCCCTCCACCTCAGAGCTGGACATGCCAGTTGCTTCCAGGAGTCACCTGAGGTAAGCCCCGCCCAGACAGAGCCCACACCCCAAACCCCCTCCTGTTCCCCACCCCCGCCCCAGCCCTGAACCCCCTCCTGCATCCCACATCCCTCATCCTGAGCCCCACCCCAGAGCCCATACCCTGAGCCTGCACCCCCTCCCACACCCCAACCCCCTGCCCTGAACCTGCTCCTGCACTCCGAACCCCTCAGCCTCAACCTGGAGCCCCCTCTTGCACCCTGAACCCCTCATCCCCCACCCCAGAGCCCACACCCCCAGCCACAGCCCTCTCTCTCCAGCAGCCCAACCTCATATCCTAGCCGGGTGAAGGTGAATGAGGCTGGGGGAGAGCGAATGACAGAGGAAGGGGGGATGGGGCGAGCGGGAGGCGAGGCCTCGGAGAAGGGGTGGAACAAGGGTATTGGGTTTTGTGGATTACGAAGTTGGCAACCGTAGGTGCTGGGCATGGGCGCTCAGTGGGGTTTAGGACTTGGGGTGGAGAAGGATTAGAGCCAGTGGCGGGTTTAAGGCTGGGGACTCCCGAGGGGGGATGACGGTGGGGTTTAGGGCTGGGCACTCCGAGGGGCTGAGCTTTAAGGCGGGGAGCGCGGCGCGGAGGGTGTTGGAGTTTACAGCTGGGGGCTCCCGTAGGGGGCGGGGTGTCTCCGGCCCGCTCTCACCTGCACCCCGCGCTGCCGGGCGCTCTGCGCGATGTACTCCAGCCGCCGGCTCACGCTGCTCCGCGCCTCCCCGGCCTCCCCCTTCCTGCTCCCCAGCCGGATGGAGACCCGCGCCCGGTCCGGGGCCGCACACAGCTCCGCGCTGCCGCTCACGTGAACCTCCCGCCCTGGCGGCACTGGGGTTCCGCGGCCGCCGAGGAGCCCCGGCACCGGCTCGTTCTCCCGCCCGCGACCCCCGAGCGGCGGGGCTAAAAGCTCCGCGAACACCCGGGCGGGAGACAGCGGCAGCGCGGACAGCGACATTCTGCAGGCCCGTTACAGCACCATAGCAACCAACGCCACGGTGGCCGAAAAGCCTTCTCCCGCCCATGGCATCATGGGAATGATAAAAGAGGGTCACGTGACGCACCCAGGGTCAGCCCGCGATTGCCATATGTCTGTTACTGGGGCGGAACTAACTGCTCACGGCCCCAGAGCGAGGCGGAAGCTTCTCTGGAGGCTCCCGGGCACACTCCGCCATGATAGTTAGGGAGGCTCCGCTAGGCCTCGGAAGTTCCTCCGCGGGGTGCAGCTCCGCCACCACCGGCACCGAGGCGCTTGCGGCCCAGCTCCGTGGCACACGCCTCAGGCCTGACCCTCGCCTCTCGGAGCCCCAGGCCTCTCCCACCGGATGACAGGCCCGCGCGTTCGTAGCAGTCCACGCACCCCGGCCACTGGAGGCTGCCTGGCCGGGAGCTAAGGGCGCCCGAGTCTTAGTCCTTGGCTACACCGGTGCTGTACAGCGCTGCAACTTGCTGCTCTTAGGGGTGTGAAAACGCCCCCCCTCCCCCAGCGCAGCGAGTACAGCGCCGTAAAGTGCCAGTGTAATCAGAGCCTGCAGCGCTGCACGCTATTCCCCTCGGGCCGCAGCAGCATTGTGAAGCGCGAGTGTAATCGCGCCGCCAGCGCTACAAGAGCTTTCTCGCAGCCCTGGAAGTACTCCACCTCTCCGAGGGGAATAGCGTGCAGCGCTGCAGGCGCTGATTACACTGGTGCTTTACAGCGCTGTGCTAGGGGCGGGGGGCTCAGAGAGGTCTACACTCGGAGAGGCAACTACACTCATGCTTCACAGCGCTGCCACGGCAGCGCTGGGAAGTCCTGAGTGTAACCAAGGACTTAGTCTTGGCTCTGCACTGGCTTGTGGGCGGGGCCTCCTAGCTGCCTCTGCCTCAACTCCCCCGCAGGGTACCCGGAGTCTGCGCCAGGAGCTGGGCCCTGCCCTACCCCAGGGATCGAACAGGGATGGGGCTAGTTGGGATTCATTCTGTGCCCCCCAGCCCCAACTTCCCTGCCCTTGGAATCCAGTGTGAATAGATTTTTTTCCCTCTTAAGTTCTGAAACAGAAAACTCTTGGGGTGGTTGGGTCTCAGCTTCTAGCTCGCACCTATGAATGGCCCTTGAAGTGTCAAATCAATTGCAGAGCCTGTCCTTGGGGCTTTTCCCTGAGAAGTGGAGAGGTTGCAGGCCTCAAGAAGGAGAGTGCCTATTCTAGCCCAGTTTTACAGATTCAGGAGGTTTGGATAGTTTGCATAAGCTCTCAGTAGATGTTTGATTTTTTTTGGATGCTTGTGTGAACTGTATCCTAACCATGACCTTATCAAAGTTTGTTCAGTACTGGAAGATGTGGTGTTAGCCTTTGGAAACAGACTACAAGTCTGAGTGTTCTGGTGGTGGGGGGGAAAACAAATTACACAATCTTCTTTAGGCACCCTCTCCTGTCATAGGAGTGATGGGATCTGAAACAAGGAAACTTTCACGCCAACTTGCCTCAATTCTATTATGTTACTTTGGTGCTATCAGATCCCCGGGGATTTGTCTTGACTAGGAAAAGTGGTCAAGTTTAGGTAGGGTTTAACTAACCTATGCTAGCTAAACCCAACCTCAACTCTACCCCTTTTTTTATGTAGGTGCAGGGTTTAGTTTAATTTAGCTGATCAAGCTGTAACCTAGACTCTTGCCTAGAATCCAATTCTAGGGTCCTTCAGTGGGTCTGGAGCAGGACTGCATCCTTTTCTTACAGACTCACCCATCCTTGGCATCTCCTATAGGATCCTCCATGTACTTCTCGGCTAGCAATTATTTCATCCCCGCTACAAGAACAAGCAATGATGTAGTTGGAGGAGACTCTCAAAGTGTAATGCCAAAGAATCCTTCCTCTCTCTCAGGGGGTTTAGCCCTTCCCATAGATGGAGGTAGCTCCTGCCCCATGTAGCTGCTCCTGGAAGGGAGTTGCACTGTTTCATAGATTCTAAGGCCATAAAGGGATCATTGTGATCATCTAGTCTGACTTCCCATATAGCACGGGCTATGGAACTTCTCCAAAATAATTCCTAGAGCAGGGGTGGCCAACCTGAGCCTGAGAAAGAGCCGGAATTTACCAATGTACATTGCCAAAGAGCCACGGTAATATGTCAGCAGCCCCCCATTAGCTCCCCCAGCTCCCAGGGCCTCCCACTCACTGGCAGCCCCGCTGATCAGCTCCTCGCCCTCCCCATACCTCCTGATCAGCTGTTTCGTGGCCTGTAGGAGGCTTTGGGGAGGGAGAGGGTGGGAAGGGTTGGAGTGGGGGCAGGGGTTGAACAGTGAGCACCCCCCAGTACATTGGAAAGTTGGCGCCTGTAGCTCCAGCCCTGGAGTCAGTGCCTCTACAAGGAGCTGCATATTAACTTCTGAAGAGCCGCATGTGGCTCCAGAGCCACAGGTTGGCCCCCTCGTCCTAGAGCATATCTTTTAGAAAAACATCCAGTCTTGATTTAAAAATTATCAGTGATGGAGAATCTACCACAACCCTTGGTAAATTGCTCCAATGATTAATGACTCGCCATTAAAAATTTACACCTTATTTCCAGTATGATTTTTTTCTAGCTTCAACTTCCAGACATGAGATCACGTTATACCTTTCTCTGCTAGTAAGAGTCCATTATTAAATATTGGTTCCCCGTGTAGGTACTGGTAGACTAATTAAATCACCCCTTAGCCTTCCCTTTGTTAAGTTAAACACGTAGAGCTCCTTGAATCTATTACTATAAGGCTGGTTTTCTATTCCTTTACTCATTCTCCTGGCTTTTCTCTGAAACCCTCTTCAATTTATGAACATTATTTTTGAATTGTGGACACTGGAACTAGAATAATAGAATTGTGGATCTGGAAGGGACTTCAGGAGGTCATCTAGTCTAGTCCTCTGCACTCATGGCAGGACTAAGTATTATCTAGACCAGTGGTGGGCAACCTGTGGGCCTCACGCAGCCTGTCAGTGTAATCTGCTGGCGGGCTGCGAGACAGTTTGTTTACATTGACCGTCCACAGGCACGGCTGTCTGCAGCTCCCAGTGGCTGCGGTTCGCTGTTTCCAGCCAATGGGAACTGCGGGAAGCGGTGTGGGCCGCAAGTTACCCACCAAAGATAGGTGTTTGTCTAACCTGTTCTTAAAAATCTCCAATGATAGAGATTGTGGAATCTCCCTGGGCAATTTATTCTAGTGCTTAACCACCAGGACAGTTAGGACGTTTTTCCTAATGTCCAACCTAAACCACCCTTGGTGCAATTTACCTCCCTCCTTCTTGTAACAATCTTTTATGTACTTGAAAACTGTTATAATTTCTCCTCTCAGTCTTCTCTTTTCCAGACTAAACAAACCAAATTTTTTCAATCTTCCCTCAGAGATCATGTTTTCTAGACCTCTAATCATTTTTGTTGCTGTTCTGTGGACTTTCTCCAATTTGTCCACATCTTTTCTGAAATGTGGCGCACAGAATTGGACACAATACTCCAGTTGAGGTCTAATCAATGTGGAGTGGAGCGGAAGAATTACTTCTCGTGTCTTGCTTACAACTCTCCTGCTAATACAAAAAAAGCAAACATCATGCTGGGATGTAACAGTGTTACACTGTGAGCTCATATTTAGCTTGTGATCCACAATAACCCCCCAGATCCCTTTCTGCAGTACTCCTTCCTAGGTATTCATTCCCATTTTATATATGTGGAACTGATTGTGCATTCCTAAGTGGAGTACTTTGCATTTGTCCATATTGAATTTCATCCTATTTACTTCAGATCATTACTCCAGTTCGTGCAAATCATTTTGAATTTTAATCCTATCCTCTGAAGCACTTTTCAACCCCTCCCAGCCTGGTGTCATCCGCAAACTTTATAAGTGTATTCTCTGTGCCGTTATCTAAATCATTGATGAAGAAATTAAACAGAACTAGACTCAGAACTAATCCCTGTTGGGCCCCACAAAATATGCCCTTCCAGCTTGACTGTGAACCAGTGATAACTATGTTCTGGGAAGGGTTTTCCAACCAGTTATGCACCCTCCTTATACTAGCTTATATTTCCCTAGTTTGTTTATGAGAAGGCCATGCGAGACAGTATCAAAAGCCTTACTAAAGTCAAGATATACAACATCTATCACTTCACCCCATCCACAACGCTTGTTACCCTGTCAAAGAAAGCTATTAGGTTGGTTTGACATGATCTGTTCTTGACAAATCAGTGCTGACTGTTACTTATCACCTTATTATCTTCTAGGTGTTCACAAATTGATTGCTTAATTATTTGCTCCATTTGCTCTGTTTTCTTTCCGGGTACTGAAGTTAAGCTGACTGGTCTGTAGTTCCCTAGGTTTTCCTTATTTCCCTTTTTATAGATTGGCACTATATTTGCTGTTTTCCAGTCCTCTGGAATCTCTCCAGTCTTCCATGACTTTTCAAAGATGATTGCTAATGGCTCAGATATCTCCTCAGTCAGGTCCTTGAGTATTCTAGGATGTAGTTCATCAGGCCCTGGTGACTTGAGTACATATACCTTGTCTAAGTACTTTTTAACTTGTTCTTTCTCTGTTTTAGCCTCTGATTCTACCTCTTTTTCTCACTAGCATTCACTATGTTAGATGTCCAGTTGCTACTAACCTTTTTGGTGAAAACTGAAACAAAAAGGTCATTTAGCACGTGTGCCATTTCCACATTTTCTGTTGTTTTCCCCCTCCTCCTTGAGTAACGGGCCTACCCTGTCCTTCCATTCACCTCTTGTTTCTAATGTATTTGTAGAATGTTTTCTTGTTACCCTTTATGTCTCTAGTTAGTTTAATCTCGTTTTGTGCCTTGGCCTTTCTAATTTTGTCCCTATATAGTTTATTTGTTTATCTTCAACCTGTGTAATATAACCTAGTTTCCACTTTTTAGAGGACACTTTTTTGAATTTCAGATCACACAGGAGTCCAGCAGTGGTCACACCAGTGCCAAATAAGGAAGTAAAATAACCTCTCTGCTCCTACACAAGATTCCCCCTGCTTATGCATCTCAGGATCACATTAGCTCTTTTGGCCACTGCGTCACACTGGGTGCTCAGGTTCATCAGATTATCTACCATGACCCCCAAATCTTTTTCAGTGTCACTGCTTCCCAAGATGGAGTCCCCCATCTTGTAAGTATGGCCTATATTCTTTGTTCCCAGA